TTCTGTTCTTTTTCTCCTTGACCTTCTCGACTTCTTGAACTGCCTAGGACAGAGTCCAAGAATCCTAAAGTTGGGAGGGGCTCTAGAAGTCATTTTATCCAACCCTCACCTGGAGCATGAAACTCCTTTATGATAGACTAGACAAATAACTGGACCAGCTAGGTGGCACAGTGGATAGAGCACTGGGCCTGGAGTCAGGAAGACCTGATTTAAAATCTGGCTTCAGGCGTTTACTAGCTGTGTGACCCTGGACAAGTCACTTCACAATATTTGCCTCAGTTTTCTCATCTGTCAAATGAGCTGGAAAAGGAAATGACAAACCACTCTAGTCTCTTTGCCAAGAAAACCCACAATGGGGTCACAAAGAGTCAGACACAACTGAAACAACTCAACCACAACAAAAGAAAAACGATCTACTTACTCACTTCTAGTGATTGCACTACTTAATGAACCTTCCATTTCTGTCTTTGGACAGCTGTAATTGTTAAGAAGTTCTTCCTTATCTTGAGTGAGAGGATGCATGGTATAATAAAATGAACACTCTACATGGAGTCAGAGAAGCTGGGTTCAAATCCCACCCCTTTCACTAACTGTGCAAGCTTTGATTCAACAAGTGTTTGTGGCTAAGTAATTAAGTAACATAACCACTCAGACCTCAGTTTCCTCCTTTGTAAAATGAGTGGATTGAACTAGATAACTTATAAAGCCACTTTTAGCTTAAAATGCATGATCCTATGAATATGGCTTCCAAGAACTCTCCTTCTTCAATGGAAGGAAGTCTTTCTTCTGTCCTTTGGCATTTCACAGAATAATATCTGCCCCTGCCTTCCCATGTCTTGTCTTCTAAGCATTCATGAAGTATTATGTATTGTAAGAAGGGGACCAGGTAAATTCAATTGATAAAAAAAAAAGGTGATTATAAATTTTCTTCATTCTGCTGCTGTTTGTTGAATACAGTACTATTAAAGACTCATCTACAAAATACAGGGAGGTTATAGTTTTATCTGAAACAGAATGAAACAATTACTTGCTTTTACTGCTTATTTCCAGAAAACTTGTCTTTAGCTATCTTTAGGCCAAGATGTGGTCTGAAATGCTGAATTATAAATAATGGACTTTGTTTAAGAGAAACAGTATATAAAATACATTATGCTTTATTGCCAAATGCATGACATAATAGATATTTACATAGTGCTTTAGAGTTTGTAAAAAGTATACAAAGACAAAAACAGAAAAAAGTTCAGAATGGACATGAAAAGGACAGTTTTGAGACTACCATGTTAAATTAATATGCCCCTTACCACATCGCACCTATCATATTGGCTAATATGACAAAACAGGAAAATGATAAATGTTGGAGAAGATGTGGGAAAATTAGAACACTAATGCATTGTTGGTGGAGTTGTGAATTGATCCAACCATGCTGGAGAGCAATTTGGAACTATACCCAAAGGGCTATAAAATTGTGCATACCCTTTGACCTAGCAATACTTTCACTTCTAGGTCTGTATCCCAAAGAGATCATAAAAACAAGAAAAGGACCCACATGTACAAGAATATTTATACCAGCTCGTTTTGTGGTAGCAAAGAATTGGAAATTGAGGGGATGCCCATTAATTGGGGAATGGCTGAACAAATTGTGGTATATGAATATAATGGAATACTATTGTGCTATAAGAAATGTTGAGCAGGCAGACTTCAAAAAAAACCTGGAAAAACTTATATGAACTGATGCTGAGTGAAGTGAGTAGAACCAGGATAACACTGTACACAGTAATGGCCACATTGTACAATGGCTGACTTTGATAGGCTTAGCTCTTCTCAGCAATGCAAGGATCTGACATCTCCAGAAGACTCACGATGGAAAATGCTATCCACATCCAGAGAAAGAACTATGGAGTCTGAATGCAGATGGAAACATACCATTTGCTCTCCTTTTTATTGTTTTGTTTTGTTTCTTCTTTCTCCTGGTTCTTCTCATTAGTTCTAATCCTTCTTTACATCATGACTAATGGGAAAATATGCTTAATATGAATATATAAGCAGAGCCTATAGCAGATTGCATGCCATCTTGGGGAGGGGGGAAAAGAGAAAGGAGACAAAATTTAAAACTCAAAATCTTGTGGAAATGAATGTTGAAAACTAAAAACAAATTAATTGTAAAAAAAGAAATTAATATACCTTTAAAATCCTCTTTATATTCTTATTTTCTTACTGAAAAATTGTTTCCTAACACTGTATATATCTTATATTTATAACTTTTCTTTTCCACATACTGTCTCTGGCATTAGAATGTGAACTCCTTAAGAGCAGGGATTGTTTTGCTTTTGTTTGTTAGCATGGTACCTGGTACCTAGTAAGCACTTAATAAATTCTTGTTAACTGACCAATTGAAATATTTAAGTTTATTGATGATATTCATAATAAAAACCTCAAGATGTTAACCACTGGCATTTTAAAGTTTTTAAGACATTTTACATTGATTATCTTATTTGAATGTCATAATACCACTGTGATGTAGATAAGAGCTGAGGATTTATTTGACTTGCCTGTGGTGGTGTAATTAGTAATTGTTGGGAGGGAGATTTGAACCCAGGTCTTCTGGACTCCCAGTCCAATGTTCTTCATACTATTGCCACTATGCACAATGTTTCTCTTAGAGTCTAAGACTTAGACCATTGATATCATCTGTATTGAAGGAAAAAGGAAATCACTGAGGAAGGATGCCTGGAGAGGAAAGGAAATCCTCTGACTGATTTATTTTTAAACAAGTATACATAGAATACTAAAGTTGGCACATGCTAGAGCACAAAGACATAGCCCACCATCAAACATTACAATATAAAACAATAAAGAAAAAGGGGGTGGCTGGGAACCACACTTATACAGGACGCTGAGATATGTATGGCTGTACCTTGCTAAACATAATATAAAACTTTGGTTGGGGGTGGGAAGAAAGAGAAATGTGTAGCGGAAATAAATGCAAGGCAACTAGTAAGACATCTCCCCAGAAGTCTTATTTGCAGAATGTATAAAGGCTCCACTTAAAATCACTAGTGTCTGTTCCAGGATCAGTAACTATAACTTCTACTTAGCTGTGGAAGCATCCAAGGGCTGCTGCTGGGTGTGGTGTGCTAGAAAGCCTTTCTTTTGTATCTAAACTCTGCCCTAGCTCATTCGAGCACACTCAGATCGACAGGGAAAACCTATAGGATCCTCTATATGTTAAAGGTTTGTGGTCTGCCTTTTTCGATCCAAACCTGGGCTGTCGTAGGAATAGGAAACTTCATCCACAAAAACATATACTAGATGCAATGGTTTATAGCCTTAAAGGATTGGGCTCACTAAGAGGTCTAGCCTAAGGTCACACAGATAAGTATATGTTAGAAGCAGCACTTGAACCTAGATCTTTCTGGCTCCAAATACAGCCCACACTGCCATTCAGGCAAATTTCCCTTAAATAAGTTTTAATGGAACCATCACAAGAGATGAAAAGAGTAAGGGCATTTCAGAGAAAAGAGGCCAGACTAGAAGTGGGAGGACAGCAGAGAAGGAAAATCTTTGGGATGAACCAGGTTTTGTAGCAAAATTGGCTCTTTTCTGTAGGAAACAACCCACTGGAACACTTTGAGTTTATAGAAGTACAGCTAAGTCAACAAGCATTTGTTAAGTGCCTACTAAGTGCTAGGCATTGTGTAAAGTGCTGGGGATGCAAAAAAGGCAAAAAACCAAACCAAACCAAAACAACCCCCCCCCAAAAAAACCCCCAACACAGTCTTTTTCTCAAGGATCTTACAGTCTAATAGTAGAAACAATATGCAAACAAAATGTAGACAGAACAAATTGGAGATGATCTCATTAGCATTAAAAGGGATAGAAAAAGGCTTATTGCAGAAGGTGGAATTTTAGCTGACACTTGAAGGAAGTCAAGGAAGCCAGGAGACAGAGATGAAGAGGGAGGGCATGCCGAAAAGCTTGTGCTCTAACAGCTCAGAGGTCAACAGGGAGGAGGGGGCAGTATGGGCAGTATAATTGTGGGAAGAGTCTCCAAGGACACAGAGGGAGGACCAGGCAAGGTAAGGGTGCTGCTGTCTCTGAACCACTAATAACCTGTTGTCAAGATTCCTGTAATCCAGAGCACCAGAATTTCCCTGCGGAGGGGGTGTGGCCCCCTATTTCGCCCAATGTGACATCTCAGCCCTGTTTCCTCTCTGCCTGAGTTCCCTGATAAAGCTGCCCTACTGATTACCCTGGGGTGGTGATGGTGGTGGTTACCTAGTGGAAACTCTTGTCTTTACTTGCTCATCAGGCAGTTGCCCTAAGAAGCAAACCACCATGGGCCCAGAATGTCTGTCCATGGCTGCAGCTGAAAAGCATGTCGGATGCTCAGACATTGACAGGTAGAAAGGAAGGGCTAGTGGGCCAGGGCTCATTGCGGGTGACACTTTCCCCACCGGCCGCCCCACTTTCTTCCCCAAAGTGACGTCCTGCCGGCTTCTTCAGCTCCCTTCCACCCTCCCCTCCAGGGAATCCACGGACTGTAACGAAACTGGCTCGGGCTGGGGAGCTAGCTGGGCATGCTCAGTAGCCGGCGAGGTTTTGATTGCGAATAGGAAGCTTTTTTGCACTCTACCGGGGCTGCAGCCGAGGCTGCTGACACGGGGCAAGTAGCAGACGGAAGAGAGCGAACGAGTCACTGCAGCTGCTTGCGGCTGCTGCCGCCGCTGCCGCCACAGAGAGTCGGAGGAGAGGCGTCCGGAGCTCGGCTGCGCTCAGGGCTCTGCCGGGTGCGCCGTCGTGGCAGCCGAGCCCTGCTTGACCGCCCCGCTCTGGGCAGGGGATCCCCAAGCCCTCCTCCACCGCGGCACACACCTCTCTCCCTTGGATAGGGTTAGGGGAAGAAAGGGGGTGTACGTAGCCCGCCGGCTGTGTCCCGGGAGGACGAGGGGGAGGAAGCCTCGGCAGCTCCCGCATCTCTCTCCCTCCCAGACCGGCTCCCGTCCTGAGCTCTGTAGGGCATGGAGCCTTGGAGACAATGCGCTCAGTGGCTCATCCATTGCAAGGTGCTGCCCGCCAACCACCGGGTGACCTGGGACTCTGCCCAGGTGTTTGACCTGGCTCAGACCCTCCGCGATGGAGTCTTGCTCTGCCAGCTGCTCAACAACCTGAAGGGTCACTCCATCAATCTCAAGGAGATCAACCTGAGGCCCCAGATGTCCCAGGTAAGGAGAGGGGGAGCAGAGCGTCCCCTTTCTGTCCCTCCTTCTCACCTCCCCGGGCCATGTCTCCTTTCCTCTCCCGTGTTCCTCACCCCTCCCCTTCCTCCCGCTAGCATCCCCCATTAATCATCTGGCTAATTTCTTTGTGTAAATGCAAAGATCTTCTAGGTGCTCCCTGCCTGCCTCTTATCTCTGTCCTCCCTCCCCCTTCCCTGGCCACTCTTGGCTTTTTTCTGTATCCCAGCTGCGAGAGGCGGTTTAATCTCTTTGACTGAATTTATCAAACTCTGGAAAGATGATATAGGAATTTGTAAAAGAGGGATGGTACTCTCTCTCTCTCTCTCTCTCTCTCTCTCTCTCTCTCTCTCTCTCTCTCTCTCTCTCTCTCTCTCATTTAAAAAATAAAAGTTGTCTTAAAGTGCATCTCACATATTCTCTCGTTCCCAAATGCCAACAACAGTAATGAAGCAGAGGAGGAATGGGAGATGATGAAATAACATTTTATTTTCCACTTTGCTCTTTGGGTTTGGCTAGGCTGCTTCCCCTTGTCTTCTTGATCTGCATTTTTGAAAGAGGAACCATGTCATGGAGAGTGTGGAATCTAGGAAGTTGAATATGCCCAGTACCGTTATCTGTCCAGTGATTGCGTGGGCCAAAAAAGAAAAAAAAAGGGGGGGAGTGTGGGGTCGGGTCGTAAAACTGCTACTGCCCTCTGAAGGTCTCCCGCACATCTCTCCACTGAGATATTTAGTATTTACAGCTCTCTTTAAACCACGTGAGAAACATGAGTCCAGCCTCTCTCAGCAAAGTGGCAGGAAACTACAAATTCAGGTTGACACTATTCACTTCTCCCTCCCCTCCACCTCCCGCCTCAGGTTTTGCTGCACATTTTGTTCTGTGTCAGGGGCCACCGGTAGAGAGGTCCGTCTCTGAAGTTACCAGGGTTCGGGAGAGTCACATGCAAAAAGGGGAGCTCAGAATTCCAAAGCGTGAATGAAACCTTTTCCCCTGCTGGAATGTTTTGGCCAAGAAAGCACCTTAATAGGATTCTATCTCAGTGTTCCTTGTAACAACTTTAAAGAAGACTCATAACTTCAAAGGTTAGAGAGAGGAGCAAAAATTAAGTTCCCATCATTGCATTTTAGAAATCTCAGTCATTTGATACTTTTAGAGTCAGTGGTATTGTGATATATAGCCCACACTAATCAGTCTGTAGACAGCAGCAGCAGCAATAGCAATATAAAGAGATCTGTATTTGCTGAGTTAATTAACTATGGATGCTTAAGTAACATTATATATTGAGCTCTTTGAATTCCTGTGTCAGACTCTCATGATGGGCCCAGTGTAACTCAATCCCATGATTGCCTTGGTTTTGGCTTCTAGGTGCACAACAGCAAGCAGAAGGACATGAGGGTACTGCTATTTTCCACACTTTCACTTGGACTCAGTTTCATCATCTGCAAAATAGGGGAAATAACACTTGAAGAGCCCTCAATCTGGAGTCAGAGGAGGGTTCAAATCTCACCTCTGATGCTTACTGCCTGTATGACCATGGACAAGCCACTTAATCTCTCTGTGCCTCAGTTTCCACAACTGTAAAATCAGAGTGTGGGACTAGAATCTAGTCACTAGATAGTCTCTGAGGTCCCTTCTGGCTCTAAAACTAGGATTCTATGAATTACTTGGGTTGAAGGGTAGTTGTGAACTCTGTAAACTTAAAAAGTTATATAAAATAAAGCTTTAAGATTTTGTGATTCTTTTATAAGTCACATTAATTCATGTAACAAGCATTTGTTATGCTCTGACATTAACTGTGCCTTCCATTTCACCCCTGAGCTTCAGTTTTATCATCTGAAAAATGGGTATAAAAATACTTATCTATCCCCGAAAAGGCTTGTTGGGGTGAGGGGGGTGGGTAGGGCACAACAAAGTACTTTGGGAACCTTAAAGTAACTATAGAAATGTGAATCATTAGAATTATGTTAGCAACATCCAGAGCAGCTCTTTAGATTCAGAAATTCTCTGTGGAGCACAGGAGTGCTCAGCAAGTCCCATTGCTTAGCAGAGTATAACATGCTTGAGTCATCATTTCCTACCTTGCTGCAGCCCCTTCTGGAAGGCAAGGTCTGTTGCACCAGAGTGGAGACCAGCAGCAAAATGTATCGTTCAGGACTCTGCAGAAACAAGTCTGCATCTCCTGGGCAATGGAAACGTTTGAATATAGCTGAATTTACCAGCTAGCTGAGGTTAATTTAATTTTTCATACCACAAAACTTTACACTTAAAAAACTTTTCCAGTCAACTTCTTTCTAAGTTATATTACATATTTCCTTATTTGAACAGAATATACTAAAACTAAATTAACTTTTCCTCAATGATTAATGGTTATTAGTGTGGTATAGTAAGAAAAAAAAAACAAAGAGTAGTGGAGTCAAGAGACCTGATGGCTGAGACCTGGCTTTGTTACTAACTAGCTTTGTCACCTTGAACTAATCACTTCTCTCAGCCAAGGAGGGAGTTGAATTTGATAAAGCCCCTCTCAGTACTAATGATAGAGGTTGTTGAAATGGGAAGATTGCTGGAAAATTGAGTCAAAATAATGGTTTTGAGTCCAGGAGTGGGGACCCTGTGGCCTCAAGGCTATGTATAGCCCTCTAGGTCCTCAAGTGTGGCCCTTTGACTGAATCCAAACTTCACAGAACAAATCCTTTAGATTCAGTCAAAGGGCCGCACTTGAGGACCTAGAAGGCCACGTGTGGCCTTGAGGCCACCCCTCACCTGTGACATTTCCTAGAAGTATTTGTGACCATGGCTAAGTCATTTAACTTCTCACTTAGCTATTTCCTTGTAAAATGGGAATAATGATGTAGAAAATACACACTTCACCCAACCCAGAGAAATGTGATTTGTAAACTCTAAAGGGAAAAGTGGATCTATATCTTCAAATTTTATTTAAAAATTTTTAATTTTATTTTATTTTTAATTTATGTAATAAAACAAGCATTTCCATAACATAGTATAATTAAAAAAATATGGTTGCTCATGAAACTGCAAATCTATTGTGTACAACTTGCTATCCCTTTTAAATATATAATAAAATTATTATGTAAATTTCTTTTCCATTTTTCCTTCCCTCCCCTCCTCGTGCCCTAAAGATGGCTACCATTAGATGCAAATATGTATAATATGGAAATTTATTATATAGTTATACATATATGTATTGATATACACATATATTAAACATTTAACAACTCAGCCTACTGACTTTACTGGAATCCTTTAAGTCCCAACTAAAATCCCATCTTTTACTGGAAATCTTTCCTAAACCTAAACAGTTCTAGTGTCTTCCCTCTGTAACAGAGGGAATTATTTCCTATTTATTCTATATTTAGCTTGTTTTGCATACAATTATTTGCTTGTTGTCTCCCTCATTAGATTGTAAGCTCCTTGAAGGCAGGGACTCTCTTTTGCCCCTTTTTGTGCTTTGGACAAAAGGCTTTAGTGCCCTAGTGCTTACGATGGTGTCTGGCATATAGTAGGCACTTAATAAATGTTTATTGATTGATTGAGATGTACGTGTGGGTATGTATACACACATGTATGTATGTATGTGTGGGTATGTGTGTGTGTGTGTTTGTGTGTGTGTGTATATATATATATATATACATATATATATATGATTATGACACTTCTGTTTTACAAAGTACATTATTTCATTTGCTCCTCCTAACAGCCCAATATAATTCTACAGTTATTGTTACAGTATATCCATTTTACAGAGGCTAAGTGTCTTGTTCACAGTCACAAATCTAGTAAGTATCAGAGGCAAGATTTGACTGTATTCTCTCTTGACTCCAAGTCCAGTATTCTTTCTACTATAATATGCTGACTCCCATACTGTGATATATAATATAGTGATGCCTATATCTGTTTAATCTATCAACAAACATTGTTCTAGGCTCTGGGAATACAAAGAATTCCCTGCACTTAAGAAGCTTATGTTTGGAGGTGAAGCATCATATGTACACATATAAGTAGAAAATATTATTGCTGTAATTGCAAGCTGCCTGACTACTTATATTGGATTAATAAAACAGCAACTCATTGTACGTGGGCTATTTTTACACTCAGGAAGCAGTGAAAACCACAATTGTTTCAATGTTATTTTTGCTTTATGAGACCTAAGTTGATGTGAACTTTTAAAAAAAACCTACTTCAACACCCTCCCCCCCAAACCCCCCCCCCAAACCCAAAACATTTTGGAGATCTATTTATACTTTGTTTATTGTTCCTTCTTTTGGAATATTTTTCAAGAAAAGTACACATAATCACTTATCTATTTTATTTAATAAACACTAAGTATTCTACAAAAAAAATTATGAAAGTGTACATTTGAACATTGGAATGTGACTTTGATTAATGAATATTTGAGTAAGGTACTGCAAAGGATAGAACTTTGGACTTGAAGCAAGAAGTCCTGAGTTCAAATCCAGCCTCAGACACTTACTAGATGTGTGGTTTGGGGCACGTTATGTAGCTTTGGTTTCCTCATCTGTAACATGAGGATAATAACAGCACTTAACTCATCAGGTTATTGTGACGATTAAATGAGATGATATTTGTAAAATGACTTGCAAACCTCTAAGTTCTATATAAGTGCTAGCTATGATTATTATTCTTATTAATTTTATAAAATGCAACAGCTCACATTTATGTATATGTAAGCACCTTCCTCATGAGAATCCTAAGAGAAAGGAAATACAATGAGAATGATTGCATTTCATGTTTGTTGAATTTTATAGATGAGGAAGTGAGGTCTCAGAGAGATTAAAGGATGTTCCTATTGTCATGTTGTGACAAAGCTAGTTAGTGGCTGAAGCAGGAATCAGACCTATGGTAGGCTTTTGAATTTCAGGTCTTGTGCTCTCTCTGTTATTTAGGTCTACTTCTCCTTCTTGTCATCCTCCTCATTCAACGAGGACACTTTTAATGAATAAATTTTA